TAAGTAGGTTTTGTCAAGCAGTCTGAGTTGTGGTTTTTTTCAATGTAGTCTTTAATGGATATGTGACAACTGAAGGAAACTTTAAAGGCTTTTTAATGGTGCAAGTGAAGGTGCCAGTTGCTATTTAGTATCACACTCTACAAGAGCTTCATTACTTTATTTGATGCTGGTTGCTAAGCAGCCGTTGCACAGAGCGTAAGTCTACTGGGTACCTTTACAAGCCGGAGGCTTAACACTGCACTATTGATGTCATGTGAGGAAATAATGCACATGCTCTAACTGCTGAACAGGAAAAAAACCTAGAAGCAAAGAAAATGAAGAACAAAACAACAAAAGGATTGGTTGAAATAAAACTTGATCAACATAACTGTATTTAGAAACATTCCAAGGAGGTTACTTCTTGTCAAACTTGCCTGGGGGTGTTTGTTCAAAACTTGTATTTAATAAATGAACGCCTGACTTACAGCCTTTGTTCATCACTTTATTATGGTGTTAAAAACTATTGGCAGTTTCAGAAATACCTCTGAAAATCTAGAGGACTCTTACACTTCTTTTTAGGTAGGTAATATCAAATATGTGACCTGGATGACCTAACCTGCCTTACCAGGACTCTGGAAGGGATGCTGGGGTTATCTTCGATAATCTCAAAGCATGGTTTTGCCTAATCAACTCCCTTTGGCTTCATTTTTCTGGCCTTGCCCCAGATCTTTTAATCATATGCTATTGTGGCTTTGCGCCTGTAGCTCAGTGGCTAGGGCGCTGGCCACATACACCAGGGCAGGCGGGTTCAAACCCTGCCCAGGCCTACTATACAGTGACAACAACAACTAAAAATAGCCAGGCGTTGTGGGCGCCTGTAGTCCCAGCTACTTGGGAGGCTAAGGCAAGAGAATCACTTAAGCCCAAGAGTTAGAGGTTGCTGTGAGGCCAGGGCACCCTACCGAGGACAACACAATGAGATTCTGTATCAAATCTAAAAGGGGCCACACCTGTGGCTCAGTGAGTAAGGACACTGGTCCCATATACCACGGGTGGCGGGTTCAAACCTGGCCTCGGCCAACCTGCCAACTAAAAAAATAGCCAGGCGATCTGGTGGGCACCTGTAGTCCCAGCTACTCAGAAGGCTGAGGCAAGAGAATCGCCTAAGCCCAAGAGCTGGAGATTGCTGTGTGCTGTGATGCCACAGCACTCTACTGAGGGCAAGAAAGTGAAACTGTGTCTCTAAAAAAAAATTAATAATAAAAAATCTGAAAGAATCATGCTATTGTGCTTCCCTTTTCTGCCCCTTATTTCTATACACCCTGTCATGCAAGACCTCAGACTAAATTAACCCAACCATTCACCTGCTACAGTATTCAGACTGTTGTTGGTTGGAGGAAAAAAAAAATCTTTAGATGTGCAACCATAAACTTGTAATCCCTAACACTGCCTAACAATCCTGTGAGTTCTAAACATCAATAGCTGTTATAAACTTTAACCTTTTTTCTCAGTTTCTCTCCTTCCAGTTTACCCTTCACACTCCATGACATTGGCTGGTACTTCACTGGGAAGATGAAGACTAGAATCTCAACTTTCAAACTTCTTTCCCATCCTATCTCTGGAATAGGCCCCACTAATCTCAAGCTGTTCCTCCACCTTTATTTCTTGACTCATGAAGGCTTTTGTAAATACCCCTTGTTTCTCCCATGAGTTCCCCATCACCCTTTAGTTTTCTGATATATATTCCTTTACTGCTGTATTTCTTCACCCATTCACCCCGGCTTTCATACTAAATTTTTGAAACCGTGCCAGTTAATGTCAAAGATTTCCATATTGCTATATTAATTTGCCCCTCCTTAATGTGACTTCTCTTCAGTATTCTTAATTTGACTCACTTCTTTATTAAAATACTCTTGGTTCCTTGGTATCTTCCTTTTTTGACCTCTAGCATTCCACGAAGCAGAGTGCTATTTACTTCCGCTCTGGCTTCACCAGGATATAATGCTTAAGGTCTGTTCTCATAATGCCACTTCACATCTTTTCCTCCAGTCATATCAAATTATAAAGTTTGATCCCTCTACCATTTTATCCAGCAATCCCACTACTGGGTACTTACAAGGGGAAAAAAGACATTTTTTTTTTCTTTTGAGACAGAGCCTCAAGCTGTCCCCCTGGGTAGAGTGCCGTGGCATTACAGCTCACAGCAAGCTCCCACTCCTGGGCTCAAGCGAGTCTCCTGCCTCCGCCTCCCAAGTAGCTGGGACCACAGGCGCCCGCCACAACGCCCGGCTATTTTTTTGGTTGCAGCCGTCATTGTCGTTTGGCGGGTCCGGGCTGGGGATTCGAACCCGCCACCTTAGGTGTACGTGGCTGGCGTCTTAGCCGGTTGAGCTATAGGCGCCGAGCCGGGAAAAAAGACATTTTATTAAAAAAAGACACATGCACTCAAATGTTTATAGCAGCACAATTCACATTGCAAAGATGTGAAAACAATTCCAGTGCCTCTTAATACATGAATGTATAACTAAAATGTGATATGTGTATACCGTGGAGTACTAATTGATGAACTCTCTTGTATTAACCTGGATGGAACTAGAGACAATTTTTTTTTTGGCCTGAGCTGGGTCTGAACCCACCACCTCTGGTATATGGGGCCAATGCCCTACTCCTTGAGCCACAGGCACCACCCAACTAGAGATTTTTTTTCCTTTTTTCTAATCACAGCTCATAGCAACCTCCAACTCCTAGGCTTAGGCGATTCTCTTGCCTCAGCCTCCCAAGTAGCTGGGACCTCAGGCACCCGCCACAACACCCAGCTATTTTTTTGTTGTTGCAATTTGGCCGGAGCCGTGTTCAAGCCTGCCACACTCAGCATGTGGGGCCAGTGCCCCTTTTTTCTTTTTATAAAGTTTTACTTTGTGGTCTTCAGTAGAGTGCTTTGGCATCATAGCTCACAGCAACCTCAAACTCTTGGGCTCAAGCAATCCTCTTGCCTCAGCTTCCCAAGTAGCTGGGACTACAAGTGCCTGTCATTCTGTCACAATGCCCACTATTTTTTGAAGATGGGGTCTGCTTTTGCTTAGGCTCATCTTCTAAGAATGGAAAAATACCCTATGTACTCACTATTAAACTGGAACTAACTAATCAACACTAAGTGCACATAGGGAAGTAACACTCATTGGAAATCAAGCAGGTGGGAGAGGGGAAAAGATGGGTAAATTCTCACCTACAATGCACAATATCGGAGTGATGAGAACACTTGTAACTTTGACTCAAACTGTACAAAAGAAATTTATTTATTTATTTATTTTTTTTTGAGACAGAGCTTCAAGCTGTCCCCCTGGGTAGAGTGCCGTGGCATTATAGCTCACAGCAACCTCCAACTCCTGGGCTCAAGCGATTCTCCTGCCTCCGCCTCCCAAGTAGCTGGGACCACAGGCGCCCGCCACAACGCCCGGCTATTTTTTGGTTGCAGCCATCATTGTTGTTTGGCGGGTCCAGGCTGGGGATTTGAACCCGCCACCTTAGGTGTACGTGGCTGGCGCCTTAGCCCGTTGAGCTATAGGCGCTGAGCCAAAAGAAATTTAAGTAACCAAAACGTTTGTACCCTGTATAGTCTGGTATTTATTTATTTATTTATTTTTGAGACAGAGTCTCAATCTGTCACCTTGGGTAAAGTGCCCTGGCCTCATAGCTCACAGCAGCTTCCAACTCTGGGCTCCAGTGAGCCTCTTGTCTGTCAGTTTTTCTATGTTTTGGTGAAGACAGGGGTCTCACTTTTGCTCAGGCTGGTCTTGAACTTGTGAGCTCAAGCAATCCGCCTGCCTTGGCCTTCCAGAGGACTAGGATTACCGGCATGAGCCACCATGCCCAGCCATATTCTGAAATTTAAAAAAAAAAAAAAAATCAGTTTCAACATTCCATATTATATAGCTGTTCTCTTTTACATCAACTCAAGGATCTTTCTCTAGTAAGTCTTCCGAGATCAGCACCATCATACCTAATCTGATACTTAAAAGTACATCCCCTCTCTTTACACTGCAACTTCTTCACATCCCAGTTCTGCCACTCCCTAGCTATCAATCCCAGTTTCAAGGGAGACAAAACGGAACACACAGGCTTTCTTTAAATTCCAAAATGTAGGCTCGACGCCTGTGGCTCAAGCAGCTAAGGCGCCAGTCATATATACCTGAGCTGGCGGGTTCAAACCCAGCCTGGGCCCACCAAACAACACTGACGGCTGCGACCAAAAAATAGCCCGGCCGTTGTGGCAGGCGCCTGTAGTCCCAGCTACTTGGGAGGCGGAGGCAGGAGAATCCTCCTCCAGGAGTTGGAGGTTGCTGTGAGCTGTGATGGCACGGCAATCTACCCAGGACGACAGCCTGAGGCTCTGTCTCGATAAATAAATAAATTCCAAAATGTCTAGCATACTGGAGGCGCTCAATAATTGTGACTTGGTTCCTCATATCTACATAGCTCCTCGTGGCTGGTTACGGAATTAGGGGAATTGGATAACATAATTCCTAACATAATTCAGAGGTTACCAAATATCAGCTAAAGAAAAGCAATGGCTGAGTCTGGTGACAGACTCTGTGGTGCCTGCTCGGCCCCTAACATGTTTGGCCTCGGATTCTCTCTACCTCGGTAAAACGAACGTGTTGCTCTAGGTAGGAGAATCTCAGCGATACCATCTGCAGTTGTGACTTCCCCGGTTCTCAGCAACGCAGCAAAAGAAACCTACGCGAAGAACCGGCGGTCGGCGCCAAGAAAAGAACCAGCGCCTTAGGGCGCATGCGCACTTCCTTCCTGGCAGGCCTTTCGGCCCTCGGTGCGTGGCTGCCCCAAGAAATGCCTGTTTGTCTGCGGAAAACCTCTGGTCTTCACATGCTCTCCGATGTCATCTCTTCCTATCCACTTTCTCTTCTGTGACTGAACAAAATTAACTGACCGAGAGAATTTTGCAAAGGTAATAGGAGACCTAAGTATCTTGAACAGGCATGGAAAGAGGCAGCCTGACCTTGGAAGTGGGACGGGGTCCTGCCGCGGGTCCTTTCGGAGTGTGACATTCAGCCGGCTGTTCCGGGCGACTGTCTTTCCATCCTAGCACCATGGCTCAATTTGTCCGTAACCTCGCAGAGAAGGCCCCGGCGCTGGTGAACGGTGAGCGTGGTGTGAGACTACCCCAGCGGGTACACGGGTGACGGGGAGGCTTGTGATGGCCTGAGAGGAAGAAACGGGCAGTGGTGACCCCAGGGGCCTACGGGAACTGGGGCGGGACGGCCTGAAGGCGGAGGGAACAGAGGAGGCCAGTTTGCGACTCTCTAGCCTTCCACTGCCTGGCCTGCAGTTTGGGTTCTCTAGAAACCACGACAATGACGGCAGGCTGTGTAAAGGAAAGCCTCAGTTGTCCAACAGCTGCCGCCATCATATCTCTTAACAGAATATGGAGGAGATGGGTCTGTTAGGAGAACACCCTTAGCTCTCCTAAGAACAGAAATATAGAGGAGGTGCCTGTGTTTACTATAGCTAAGAAAGAAAGAGCAGAAATGGGAAAGTACAGAAATTCGGCCTCATCAGGTGGTCTGGTTCTCCATGGAATATTTGAAAGTCAACAGGAATGTTTAAGGATGGGTGAGCTTTGGAACGTGAATTTTGCTTTCCGCTCTGGACAGATTTTGAGACACTTCCACTTTAATCTGAGGGAAATTGTAGGTGGAATTGAGCTTTATAGATAAGTATCCCGGCCCCAGTAAGCGCAGAAAGGGATTCATTCGTATAAACCATAATCTTTGTTATCATAGCTTAACATTAATGGAATTTTTTGTTTGAAGAGCCTCATTGGTGGACCACTGTATTTCAAAACAACCCTGAACAGTCACTAGTCTCTTCAGTCAGTAAATGTTAGTTGTCTTGTGAGTTGCAAACTATTCATTTCATTCCTGAAGGTGAGATAAGTTAAATTGACCTAAGTTTTTCACTAGATGAGCTATGTTCTATATTCTGTTACATGATTGGAAGTCAGATTTTTAAATAACTTTTATTCAGACTTGATTATAAAATCTGAACTGAATATCAGAAAAATACATGTAATGCTTTTGAGTGTATTCTACTGTGTTTGGTATTTTTTTACTCATTCTTCCCTTCCCTCCATCAGTAGTCAAACAACGAGTTATTGAAGGCATTACATTGCCAGATGCTATGAATACTTCAGGTTTTTTTTCTGTACAACCCCACGGCCTACAGTGAAACGTATTACACTTTTTTCCAAAGAATTCAAGTTTGCAACTTTTATGGAGATGATCAAATATCTGTTACAAAGCTCTACCTACAGTTTTGCATAAAGAGAGATAAAAGGATTGAAGGCTTCAGTCTTTTGCCTTTGTGGATGATTTTAGTTATAGTTTTTAATATTTCAAGTGGATTCTTTATTTCCTAAGCGTAGCTTTTCATATCTTGTAGCTGGTGCATGCTAGGGAATTGCAAATTAATTTTAATTTAAATTATTGGTAACATCAAAATAATTTTGTTTGGCAGCACCCATAGCTCAGTGAGTAGGGCGCCAGCCATTGTACACCAAGGCAGGCAGGTTCGAAACTGGCCCAGGCCTGCTAAACAACAATTATAACTCCAACCAAAAAACAGAGTCTCACTGTGTTGCCCTCAGGAGAGTGCTATGGCATCACAGCTCACAGCAACCTCAAATTCTTAGGCTTAAGTGATTCTCCTGCATCAGCCTCCCAGGTATCTGGGACTACAGGCGCCCACCACTACACCTGGCTGTTTTTTGTTGCAGTTGTCATTGTTGTTTAACAGGCCCTGGGTGGATTGGAAACCGCAAGCCCCAGTGTTTGCGACCAACGCCCATGGTACCCTAACCATTGAGCAATGGGTGCCAAGCTGACTTGTTATTCTTCTAAAAGTACTTAAAAAGGAAGACTCCCTTGGAGCCAGAATGTAAAAGTGGAAATATAGAGTCTAATTTTTTTTCCCTTTAACTAAACTGTAAACTTTATTTGGATTGCACCAGTTTTTCCATTAATCTCTTTTCAGTTCCAGGATCCAATTCAGGGTACCACATTGGATTTAGTTGCTGTGTCTCCCCAGCCTCTCTGGTCTATGGTGGTTTCCCACTCTTTTCATCTTCCATGACCTTGACAGTCTTGTGTTGTCCAGGTATCCTTAAGAATGTTTATCAGGGCTGCACCTGTGGCTCAGTGGGTAGGGCACCAGCCCCATATACCAAGGGTGGCAAGTTCAAACCCAGCCCCAGCCAGCTAAAACAGCAGCAACAACAATAAAAAGCCAGGCATTGTGGCAGGCGCCTGTAGTCCCAGCTACTCTGGAAGGCTGAGGCAAGAGAATCATGTAAGCCCAAGAGTTGAAGATTGCTGTGAGCTGTGACAACACATCACTCTACTGAGAGCAACAAAGGGAGACTGTCTCAGGAAAAAAAAGAATGTTTCACAATCTAGGTTTGTCTGGTGTTTTTCTCCTGGTTAGTCTGGAACTATGGATTTTTAGAAAAAGTACCACAGAGATAAGGTGCCCTACTCAAATACCAGGAGGTAAATGATGTCCACATGACATCACTGATGACATAAGCTTTCTTTTTTTTTTTTAAGAGACAGAGTCTCACTCTGTCACCCTCAGTAGAGTGCTGTGGCGTCACAGCTCACAGCAACCTCCAATTCCTGGGCTTAGGTGATTCTCTTGCCTCAGCCTCCCAAGTAGCTGGGACTACAGGTGCCCTCCACAACGCCTGGCTATTTTTTGTTGCAGTTTGGCCAGGGCTGAGTTCGAACCCACCACCCTCGGTATATGGGGCCAGCACCCTACTTACTGAGCCACAGGCGCCGCCCGACCTAAGCTTTCATCTCTTGGTTAAAACTTGATTGTAGCCGTGTTTGATAGGTTCCTCCACAGTAAAGTTACAACTTCTTTATTTCCATAGTCTATCCTTCAGTCTGGCACATGGGGGTTGGTGTTACAGCAAGGGATTTCATCCCCTATAGGAGGAATCATCTACATATACAAAATTAAAAAGAATTCATGAGAAAGATTTGTTTCAGTTTATTCAGTCATATATGGATTCATACATTTATTTCATACTTCGTATATCCAATACTTTGTTATTTATCACTCCACTTGTTTGATCCTTGTTATTGGGAGCTCTTTCAGGTTGGCACCTCTGTCCCTCTGACATGACCCTTGTGTTCTAGTACTACAGAATGCTTCAGTTGCTTGGCTGTGTTTCTGTCTGAAACACAGAATCTTGTGTTTTCCCTGTCTCAGCCATAGAATCAGCCATTTCTTCAAGGTGCCCTAGTTCCTTTTATTACACTATGGAAATTAGAAACTAAGAGCTAGGTGCTGGGTATACTCATTGCTACAAGAGTATCATTGCTTATAGGTCTTTTCAGTGGACAGGGATATCAGTATATATCTATATAGATTGTGTGTGTGTGTGTGTGTGTGTGTGTGTGTGTGGGCGTGCATACTGACCCATATATATACATGCATGCATATATAATTGTTTTAGTAGCTATCCATTGGTATATTTATATTAAGCTAAACATGAGTTCATATGGATGTCTCTGGCTCTAATCCAATACCACAGTGTTTATTTTTATTTATTTATTTATTTTTATTGAGACAAGAGTCTCACTCTATTGCCCTGGGTAGAGTGTTGTGGCATCAGTGTCATAGCTCACAACAACCTCAAACTCTTGGGCTCAAGTGATCCTCTTGCCTCAGCCTCCTGAGTAGCTGGGACTACAGGCATGTGCCACTACGCCTAGCTAGTTTTTCTCTTTTTAGTAGAAATGAGGTCTTGCTCTTGCCCAGGTTGGTCTTGAACTCCTGAGCTCAAGCAGTCCACCTGCCTCAGCCTCTCAGAGTGCTAGTATTACAGGAATGGGCCATCACACCTGGCCTATTTTGCTTCTTTTCTTGCTTGTCTGAAACTTTGCTCTCCTTCAGTGAAAAACCTCGTCCCCACCATCTAGTGTTCATTTTTTTGTTTTTAATCTCTTGTATACATGTAAAAGTTTTTAACCTGTACTCCCTGAGAAGCAAGTTTACCAAATAAACTAGTTTTATGTACAGTGTACTGATTCTTTTTTTTCTTAAAGAATGAAATAGTTAAATATCTATATGTTGAAGGTAATTTTAGTTGGTTGGCTGTTCCACAAGACTTTATGTTTTTTTTTGAAACAGCATCTCTGTTGCCTAAGTTAGAGTGCCATGGCGTTAGCCTAGCTCAGCAACCTTAAACTCCTGGGTTCAAGCAATCCTCCTCCCTCAGCCTCCCAAGTAACTGGGACTACAGGCTCCTGCCATAACACCCAGCTAATTTTTCTACTTTTAAGTAAATACAGAGTTTCATTTTTGCCCAAGCTGGTCTCAAACTCCTGAGCTCAAGCAGTCCTCCTTCCTCAGCTTCAGCCTCTCAAAGAGCTAGGATTATAGACATGAGCCACCGTGTCCAGCCAAGCCTTTGTACTTTTTGATTGCTCCATCTTATGGGCATTGTCAGTTCTATTTAAAACTTTCTTAGGCTGGGTGCAGTGGCTCACACCTCTAATCCCAGCACTTGGAAGGCTGAGGCAGGCAGATTGTCTAAGCTTACAGGTTTGAGACCAGCCTGAGCCAGAGTGAGACCTCATCTCTAAAAAATAGCCAGGCATTGTGGCAGGCACCTGTAGTCCTAGCTACTTGGGAGGCTGGGGCAAGAGAATCACTCAAGTCCAGGAGTTTGAGGTTGCTGTGAGCTATGACACACAGCACTTTAGCAAAGGTGACAAAAGTGAGGCTCTGTCTCAAAAAAAAACAAAACTGTCTTTTAGACCTTTGTGTCTGCTTAAAGATATATCCATGGCACTAAACACATATGATGGAGATAGCAATTCTATGAATAGGAAAATATCCAAATACAGGCAGTTAATAAGAAAAACACCAAGAGCTTTGTATAATCCATCTTGGGCCCAAGAGATCCTCTTGCCTCAGCCTCCCAAGTAGCTGGGACTACAGGCGTGCAACACCATGCCAGGCTAGTGTTTAGTAGAGATGGTGTCTCACTCTTGCTCAGGGTGGTCTGGAACTCCTGAATTTAAGCAATCTGCCCACCCACCTTAGCCTCCCAGCGTGCTAGAATTACAGGCATGAGCCACTGAGCCCAGCCTATATATAGATTTTACTTTTTATTATTTATAGTGTTTTTGAAAGAGAAACATCTGTGCTTTTAGATAAAGATTTAATCCAGCACATATTAATAAGGATACCAGATGTGGATACTAATTATTATAGTTCTATCTAGATTTGTGGCTAATATTGCAAGGTTTTAAAAATATCTATACAAGGGCTAGGTGCAGTGGCTGATGCCTGTAATCCTAGCACTCCGGGAGGCCAAGGCATGTGGATTACTTAAGCTCAGGAGGTAAAGACAAGCCCCAGCAACAGCAAGGTCCATCTCTAAAAATAGCTAGGCACTATGGTGGGTGCCTATAGTCCCAACTATTCAGGAGGTGAGACAAGAGGATCACTTAAGCCCAGGAGTTTGAGGGTACTGTGAGCTATGACACTATGGCATTCTACGAAAGGCAACAAAGTAAGACTCTGTCTCAAAAATAAATAAGTAAAAATATACAGTAGAACAATGGACTAAACAAACTGATCAACATATGGAGCCAGTCAACATGATGAACTAGGCCTGCTGTACTGATATGTACATGTCCAGTCTATGAAAATTGGGTCAACTTGAGGTGGTTAATGTAGGGAAGCAATCAACTATGGAGGTTCTACTGTGGATGGTGCGCGTGTGTGTATATATACATATACATAGTGGGTGTGTATGTTGTCTGGGATAGAGCATAGTAGCATAATCATAGCTTATTGCAACTTCAAACTCTTGGACTTAAGCAATCCTTCTGCCTCAGCCTCCCAAGTAGCTGGAACTACAGGTGTACACCACCATACCCAGCCAATTTTTCTGTTTTTTGAAGAGACAGTCTCACTATGTTGCTCGGGCTGATCTCGGAATGAGCAGTCCTGCCTTACCACCTAATGTGCTGAGATACAGGCATGAGTCACCACATCCAGCCTAAAAGTCTTACTCTTAAGCATGCCAGTCTACATAGCTTCTTTCCTCCCCTTCTACACTTCTTCCCACTGAATTTCCTGGTCTCTCTACCAAGAAAATATGATAAATTGCTGCTGTTTTCTTCTTTTTAAATCCAACTCCTAGTAACTTTACAGTTAACTAGATTTGCTATTCATAAATGAAATAACAGAACTAGCGAAGGACTGACATGATTGAATGTGCGTATAGCTTCCTGCCTGATTGAACTGCTCTGTGACACAGGCGTTCTGCATCTTTAAAAGCCTCTTGTTACCAGGGAGCAGCTTTGACATTGCACACCGGGTGCACATTTGGTACAAGCAGTGAATGAATGTGATGCATGAATAAATATTTGTGTCCAGCCCACACATCTGCTTCTTTCAGTCTCTAGTGAGTTCATCCTGGTTTTTTTTGTTTTGTTTTGTTTTGTTTTGTTTTGTTTTCCAGCTGCTGTGACTTATTCGAAGCCTCGATTGGCCACATTTTGGTACTACGCCAAGGTTGAGCTGGTTCCTCCAACCCCTGCTGAGATCCCTAGAGCTTTTCAGAGCCTGAAAAAAATAGTCAATAGTGCTCAAACTGGTAGCTTCAAACAGCTCACAGTTAAGGTAACTATGGGCTAAGTGAAAACGTATGTGCGTAACAGAAAATGTTTTCCCTTGGGGTTTTTCTGATTGTTTTGATTAATCTACGTATTTTCCAGTGAGGCTGACTCCACCATACTGGGAGATAATGTCTTTCTTGACTGCTGAGAGATACTTACTTTTCTAATTTCATCATCTGGAAAGCAATAATTGGACTATTTTATGTATTAGTTTCCTAGGAGTCTTCTACTAGAGCAAAAAGTGAGCATTTTTACTGGGAAACTTTTTTTTCATTTTCTATTTTGGATAGTATACTAAAATATGGTGACATACTTTGCTAATTCTGAATTTTTTTTCATCATAGTCCTGAATTTATCCCCAGTTCAGCCAAAATATCTTTTGAGAATACCAAAACCTGGGTTATTGAATTATATAAAGATAAAACTCTAAAAACTATAAGAATTAGAACCTGGATTTGGGTTTACTTGCATGACCCAAGCACATGATCCAAAAGGTCTAGGTAACTAAATAATTGCCTATTTTAGAACCTGTGCCCTGGGAAATATGATTATTCTTCAGAAGACTTCCAAAAACTTTGGGTCTGATTGATGAGGATCATTCATTTCCACAAAGTGCTAAAAAGAAAAGGCCCAGTTTGTTATGGAGAGGAATTTTTTCAACTAGTGAGTCAAGATCTGTACTTTTGCTCATGTGAAACTGCTTTCTTGAACCATTTGTGTATTTTTCTCGTTAGGGCAATAAAATGTTGATCTTTAAAACTAAGTACAGAATGCTTGCAAAGAATTAAGCCAAATAACACATGAGTAAAACTGATATCTGAAGAGGAAGACAAAGCCCTTCATCTTCCAACAGATTTTCTTTGGCCAGATAGAAATATATATATATACTTGGGCTTCCTAGAGTCATCCTTTCATAAGAATGCCCTATCTAGATGTGTCAGCTGTTTCCAGGATGTGGGTTGTTTTAGGGCTCATAAAGTGTCTCATAAACTAATAATGAAAGGGTTAAATCAGTTCAGGTCTTTAAAGAATGCTTTGAAAGAATTTATAAGCTCTAGACTACTTACCTTACAAAATTGAAAGTTCAAGGGTTCTCAGCAGTTTAACAAAGTTAACATCAGTAATTCTATACTTCACTAAAACTGCCCTCTAGTTTGAATTGCATCCGTATAGTCTCTGTCTCTTAGTCCTGGAACAAGAGTTTTAAATATATAAGAAAAAAAAAAGAGACCTTAAAATTTGTGCTTCTTTTTTAGGAAGCTGTGCTGAATGGTTTGGTGGCCACTGAGGTGTGGATGTGGTTTTATGTCGGCGAGATCATAGGCAAGCGTGGCATCATTGGCTATAATGTTTGAAGACCAAGCTTTAACATCTGATTACATTTGACTTATTTGAGAGGACCATGTGTGATCAGACTGTTACCTGAATAAAATGTGTCAAAAATCAATGTTTTCTCTGTCAAATAGTACGCAGGTCACAATTTCTCTTGATATAAAGTTGGTTTGTCTTTTGTTTTGATACATTAATACAGCTCTTTGTGTGTGTCTAAGTGCTTAGCCTAAAATTGGAAAGGATGTGTGTGACTTGTCAGCTGGTGCATGAATATATGAAGATAACATTTTAATTTGAAGATTCAAAGTACATGCTATTTAAGCTTTATTGCCAGAAAGTGTGGGAAAGGACCTTGAGAAACTCTTAACCCACCACAGTAGGAGAAGTAGTGATACTATGTGCCAAAATGCAGTTAAGGCTCAGCGCCTATAGCTCAAGTGGCTAAGGCACCAGCCACATACACCAGAGCT